TGGATGGTAAACCCCACATATCAGTCAGTCGGTCAGTCCGCCAATCAATCAATAAATAAATCAATCAATCAATCAATCAATCAATTGTAAACCGGTGTGCCATGCATATACCCCATTTTAGCCCATGTACTGCCATGGAATTCAGGAAGTCTTTAACAGGGGCTTGGTTGTTTTCTATTTGCACGTGCACGTTTGTGTCCCTGTGCTCTTTCTTTGTCGGCGTCTTTTTACGCTCAAGGAGACACAGGGAAATTTCTCTGGTGGAGCAAGTCGTATCGCGAGCTAAGTACGTATACACAGCTTTGTGAAGGAGTCGTTTGAAGATCCTTAAGCATGCAAAAAAATATGGCGCAGCTAGGCACCTTAACTCACCTTTGTCACTCTCTTGCTGCACTCGACCAAACATGACTATGCTATGCTTTACCCCCTCACTTCGTCGTTCTCAACCTCCTCGTCTTCACTTAACTTTTTCCACTCCTTTGATTTACTGTACTTTACATGGATATGTAATAATTTACCTTCTCCCCACATCTTAAGATCTCTCTTACCCTCATATCACTTCTCCTTACTCTCACTTCAATTTCCCACCCCTTTGTTATTCTATACTATGCATGGCTATGCTATGTTAGCTACTGCTTTGTACATATACCCGCTTTCTGTGGCATATGCCAGCCCAGTTTAGTGTGGACTGATCTGGTGTTTTGTCAAGTTTAAACAGCTCCGCTGCTAAACGCGAAGGAGAGGGATTACCCACACAGGAAGGTGACGTATGAAGCCGAATGGCAGATGAACTTGATGAAGGGTTTTCGGAGCGTGCGGCCGAAGTTGGAGTGTGGCGCCACGATGTAGGCGACCGAGTAGACGGGGAAGAGCAGACCGATCTTGAGGATCTGCATCGACTGCAGGATGATGTTCTTGCGCCGAAAACCCGGCAAGCCCTCGTACCAGATGGACGCCAGCAGCTGCTGCACGTTCGGGTGAGCGCAGAACTGCATGTAACAGAAGGAACGTCGATCGAATTATCCGCTTACTGAGCAGTGAAAACAATGAAGCGCTGCCTTTTAAGCTGACTTAGTCTCAAAAACGAGGTTAAATACACTGGAAACACTCTTCCATTTACACGCTTACTTTTGTTACGGGTGAAATAGACAGGGAAATAAATAACTATGAAGCGCTGTTCTGAGTAACTTTTTTTGTAGTTGATCGCTGGAAAGTTTCAGTGTATTGCCTTCTTGAGCAATAGTATTGTCTAGGTGATAGCAAAAAGCTCAAAATCTTATCAAGTCAGAAGTGTATTGCAAGACCAAAATATTCGAGGTCAAGTTCTTACGATCCCAATATGTCGGAGTCAATTAAGAGAAATATGGGAATTATCGGGTCACGCTTAGTGTAAGCAAAGTGCATTCACCTTAATTTTCTTCGCGTGTCATGGAAAAAGAGCTAAACGGATTGCACCCCAAATGAAAGCTGTACGAACAGCGCCCGCTGGCGTTTCAAACATGCGGCCTGGTTAGGTTATGTGTATCGTACCCATGGGAGCCACGTTACGCTGACGCGAGACATGACAGAAGGACACTGTGGGCCTTTAGATTGCCCCGCATAAAAATTATGTCCACAAAGAAAACCTGATGACGTGTCTTTAAAAGAAAATAGCAATGCACAAGTACGAACGTATGGCACGTCCATCCGGGCAGCCGCATTGTATACCCAAGGATGCATGAACATCGGAAACACACGGATCACACATGGAATGTAGAAGATTTTCGCTTATGCATCACAGTAACCAATATGTCCAGTGTGCTGATAATGAAGTCAGCTGGATTTTATCGTGGTGTTTGCTAGTTGATTTCACCTACATTTTTTTTGCATAGAAAGTTAAGCAGGCCGCAAACTCTGACACTCCGGCTACTTCAGTTCGGACGTATTCTAACGCCACGCTATCGCACAAGATTTATGCTGACCTACAGATAACTAATGTATGTTCGTTATGCGCAGATATAGCAAACGTAGAGCAAGTGCTGTAGCAGTGCGCCATGGTACTCGGCGGCGAAGTCGTCACGCCATCCAATGGGACGCTGCTGTTTAAGACCCACACGTGAAGAGGAAGGTCCAACGGGCTCGCGCGACGCAGCACAGACTTGGTATTTTTGTTCAGATGTGGAAGCCGCCAACTTCGTGTTGAAGAACCTAATAGAAATTTACACATCCATCTCTAGAAAGAGCCCAAAAAACTACCAGCGAATCTTAAGCGAGAACTCACAGGATTCCATATGTATTCACCTAAGATATCTGGAAGGTGAACGACATCTTTCTTTCTTTCTTTTTTTCTTTCTTTCTTTCTTTCTTTCTTTCTTTCTTTCTTTCTTTCTTTCTTTCTTTCTTTCTTTCTTTCTTTCTTTCTTTCTTTCTTTCTTTCTTTCTTTCTTTCTTTCTTTCCTTTCTTTCTTTCGACTCGGTTCAGTGAACCACTTCCACCCCACTCCGAAAGCTGTCGGCACCTGACGTGCCACCTACCGTCTACACGTCTTTCACGTACCGTCTAGGATCGGAGGCGCTGCAGGTTTTGTGAGCCTCGCCAGGCTTTGCACGGCCTACGTAATCGGTCCACATTTCAACAAACGATGACTCCATGTGATGACGTCGTCATGGCACGTCTCAGTGACGTCACCATGTTTTAGCAATTGGTGACGTCAGAATGGCGTTCTGCAGTGGCATAACCTCGCGATGATGATTATTTGCACCACTCGTGTCGACGTCGCTGATGCCGAGACTCAAATATCGCGTTTGATGAGACATCGACGGCTTTCGCCTCAATAACACCTTGTGCGTCTGATTCGCTATCTCGCAGGAACTCTAATGACCCGGCTTTTGTAAAACGCAGAACCTGATACTGCTTTCAACAACCACTTACCTTTTTCTGCTTAAAGCGTATGGCCATCTTGAGGCGGGTGAGGTGCATACGGTCACCGTGCTCGAAGGCTGGACCCGTCGGGTCGTAGTTGAGCAGCACCTCCAGCTCGTACGAGGTGCGCGTGTGGTCAAGCAGCGCTGTCGCGAAGTCTTGGCACTTGCGACGAAGTTCCTGCAGGTGCGGAAGTCATTATTTGGTTACGTTTCTGGTCTGCGTGGGCAGTGTTTTAAATAGGGTTAGAAAAAACACGATAGAACGCAAATCAATGAAATTGGTCCTGAAAATGCGCATGATTTGCTGGTTTTCACAGCGGAGCAGTCAAGCTCTTCGTTTTGCCATGTGGTGACACCGTCATCTCGAACAGGCATGAGCTCTCTTCGTGTCATGCCTCGCTCTCAGAACAGATGTGCCATTTTTTTTTTTTGGCGTGGGATGCAATAATTCCAATGCACGGAAGCCCCAGTAAAGAGAGAATGCGGTAGAGAAAGAAAACAAATAGTAGAGAGGCAAGAAATCAATAAAAACGTGAAAAGCGAGAGAACCAGTACTCAAAGAGAGAGAAAGACAAAGGGAGAATAGGGAAGAAGATAAAGTAGAGATAGAAGAAGAAGAAAGAAATAGACACCGAGAGAAAGAGATGGGAAGAAACAAACACAAAAACGAGCTAAAATAGAGAAAGCAAGCATAAGCATGTATAGTAGAGGCAAACAAGAGATTGGAAACGCAAGTGAAGTAGGGGAGGACAGAAAGTAGAAAGTGAGAGGGCGAACATGACGTATTGTTGTGCTGTATATTGTGCAAGGGGTGGGAAAAGATATTTAGGGTGAAATGGAGGAAAAGGGTTCAGGCAACGCCACATGGCAGCAGATGGGCTGCTTCATCATTCATCACAACAGAAACGCGTAACTTCCCCTCAATTTTTTTTTCAGACGATACCCATTCCAAACAGTCATTAACATAGCAGTGTAACCTTCTATAGTGAAGACTACAAAGGCGGGAGGCAGAATTCACTTCCTAATGATTTAAGTAAAAAATAGCTCGAAATGTGAACGAGGTATTAAGAAAATATAATACGGTCAAGCCAGCGCGAACGTGAAGGCTGTTTCAGTATAGGAAATGTGATCACTGCCTATAAAATTTGGCACCAGATAGTTGCAAAAGCCTGCAACCAACTCTGTTATCAGATACGTTTTGGTTTTAGCAAGGGACGGTGCACTACTCTCCCATAGTTGAGTAAGAAGTTCTAAAAATCGTTAAAACACTTTTTCTAAATATATGTAATGTGTTGAACGTATAGGCTAGAGGCTCCGATGCATAAGAAAAATATGACTTCATGAAGTGTGAGTGTGTGAAGTGCGACTAATTTGGCCGCGCGGCCAATGCTAGACGCAAGTGTGAGTGAGCAAGCATAGGATCGGGTCGATTGGTGAAGCACAGGAGATGCCATTGTTATCATATAGAGGACATATACAGTGAGCATGATGACGATGATATCATGCATACCTGATAGAACCAATAAGGTGTTGAGAACGGAATGCAAGTGTGCGAGCAAACAAGCCAGTCGCTGAGCTGTGAAGCACAGGGGATGCGTTTGTTATCATATAGAGGGCTTATACAGTGAGCATGATGACGATGATATCATGCATACCTGATATAACCAATAAGGTGTTAGAACGGAATGTTAGAGTGCGATTAAACAAGCCAGTCGCTGAGCTGTTCATTCGTAAAGAGGAGGCGTACTCACAAGATACTCGCTCTTGAACTCGTGCTCCAGGTAGGCTAGCCGCCGCAACTCGCCGCTCAGCTCGAACGCGGTCAGGATGGGGTCCTTGCTCGACAGGGCGATGAGCGAGGGCGAGGCCAGGGCGCGGTACGAGTCGATGCGCGACCGCGAGTGTCGCAGCGAATCCTCCGAGCGGGCGCGCACGCAGTCTCCGCAGCTGCAACGCACGCCGTGGGGCGCCGGGAAGCTGTAGCCGCGATCCAGCAGGATCTTGAGGATCTCGTAGTTGTCTCGGTGCGCGGCCAGGATCAGCGGCGTCATGTCCGGCGTGAAGGCGGCCGTCTCGTGGTCGATGGCCTCCCAGCTCTGCGCACGACGTGTATTTACGTTACTGTAGAAGTAAACAATAAAGTCAGTTTCACTACAAGGGCGCAGCAACGAGCGCCATTGCTACAACTTGAAACGTTATACGAATTAAGCCGAGCATCTAACTCTTTGCGGCTCTGGTCTCTTTTCACTCTACAAAAAACAAAAAAAGAAAAACTGGCGTGAACATGCTCCTAGGTTGTAGCTGTGCGAATAGCGCGTGTACATGCTCTTACGCTCAATCCTTCGCCCCACCCACCAAGGCTGCCGGCGCGCTGCATGTCTGCTTGAGCCACGACACTCTGCAGCCTCTATGCAAGCTTTCGCTCGCATGTAGAACATATGACGCGCATATATTAGAACTTTATTTGGAACACGACGGCAACGGTGCCAGCAAAAATGCGCCCGGAGTGTTCATATGGTTGCTATCGCAATCACAGGTCGTACGAAACTTGGAGCCATTTGCCGTTCTTTTCCTCCTATTTTTCTTCCTTTGCGTCGATATTGTTGCTGGGTCACTCCGAAATATATAGGTTATGTACCTCGGAGTCATGATACATCTGTCACCAAAACGACAAAAAACGAGAAGAAGACGTATGGAGAACATCATACGTACCGTGTGCGTACCACCCGCTTGTTAGTGTTCTGGTTCTAACGTTGACATAAATTTGGCAGTGAGAGATGTACGTCATAATAACATTGCGCAGTTGAAAATTACATGTGTTCTACATGTGTACTTGTGAGACATCAAGGATACAATTATGACCACATCTGGAAACTTTAGCGCAACTCAGCAGCAGCGCCGATACGCCGATAAAGAGCGCGGTTACGTTGTCGTTTTCGGTAAATGCAGCTATTTTTTGATTTACCATCAGCTACCTTCAAACACAATAAAACTAAGAGTGCCAAGTGGACATTTTACGATAGTAGAGCGTTGGTCTGCACATTAAGCTCGCTATAAACTGATCCACAGCACGTATGCTCGTCGCCAAGCCTTTAGATTACCGAATTCCTCGCATGTGATTTATGTGCTTTGCTAACGAGATTCGATGCAACCTTTTGTAAACCTAAAGCCCAATGTTACCTCGACTATAAACTATGTATTATAGGAATGTTACCTCCATTAGAAAAAAGAAGCATCATCATTACCATATGTAGTACTTAGCCACTTTGCAAGACGACTATCGAGAGCGAAGTCAATTCTTTCTGTGAACAGTCCCCTATCTGTATGCCTTTTTACATCGTGAGCTGATCAGAACAACAAAAACTTTTCACGCCATGCAGGCATGGAACGACTTTTTTAATTTGATACGTCTTATTTCAATGTCGCTGAACCACCATATTTAACCGAGCCTTTCGTCACGTCTGTTGGAAAGTCTCTAAAGGATGTAAAGTGCTGTTAATAGCCGTTTAATGGCATAGATTAGTAAGACGCGTAGTCCTAGCAAGGCATGTTGAAACCGAACGCTTGAAATAGTTTCGCAATACCGAGCAACCTCCGTTCCCCAACTTAACACCTCCTTTCCCCTAACCCCAACGTGGCTCGTGCGACTGCGCTGTGTCGAGCGCCAGGAAACATGAACGTAGCTTTTTACACCAACGCATAAAGAAAACCTTTAGGTTGTGCGCAGTGGGACGCAGTGGACGATCTCTTTAGGCTGCATTAGGCCAAGCGTTCAGCAATGGGTAAAGAGCACGAATCCATCACTGACGACACCCTTGCAAACAGCTAATACACTCCGCGCTTTTCAGTAATACACTTCACGCTTTTCAGCACAGCAAAGACTGCGTTCCCTGTCTTCAGATGACGTAAGGCAAATTAGTTTACGGTGCACAGGGTTCAGTCTGCATTGCGAGAGACCGATTAGACAAGCATTAGAGCGCATGTGCAAGCCCCGGGTGCTATCATTAGACTATAGAAGTATACTGCTTTGCATGACAGAGAGAATAATATGGGGGTCCGTGAAGAGCCCAAGGGAATCTGCCGACCTATATAAATTTCGTGAATAGCTCGCCGCGAGCCTTATTAAATGAAGTTCTGCTTATTGAAACGAGGCAGAAAGGTGGGAAAGATTAAAAGGAAAAGTAGGCAGAGGGGAATTCAGGCAGAACGTCGAGAGGTCATCAGCATAGTCGTAATTAGGAAGAACTGCGCCCTTTACCATTCAGCCAGCGCAGCATCCCGCGAACCGCGTCCGCTCAGCACATTCCGCTCTCTTGATTTTGTTCCCCGGGAAGGAGCGCACAGTAAGACTCAGTTCAGGCAGCGGTTGCACATATCGACGCCATCGCAGTTCAATTATATTATTTTTTATACCAGCGAACTTCTGAATCTTGACTCGCCTTAGGACAGAAAGAAAAACTTTGCTCAGGGCTTCGCTTTGTCTCGTGGGAAAAAAGTCGATCACTCTGTCGTGCTGGGCGCTAAAGCATGGGCAACAAAAGCAGCTGCTGAAGACGGTCGAGTCTGCACTGCGCTTGCTTTGCTGCAAGCTTAATGAACTTCATTGTTGTCGAACGGGTCGACGATCTTGCATAGGGGCACTGCGCGTCTTAGTGCATATCGGCACGAAAGAACGGGAAGTCATCGCTGAGAACGGTGCTGGCATTGGCGAGGCCATGAGTGTTTGCAGAACGGTGTAATAACGTTTACTCGCTCGTGTTCAGTTGTTCTGAGATGTAACAACACGCACAAACTGTGTCAAACATTTCCAGTCACATTCATAGCTCTGAAAATTAGTCCGAACAATGTGTAAAACACTGATACATCCATAAGTTTTCTCTATCAATCTGATATTGTATGTGAGTTTTACATCCGATTTGAAATATGGCCGTAAAAATAGTAATGGTGATGTGTGAAATTACGCCTTAGAAGAAAACATGTTGCGCAATATTCGTTAAACGCAACATTCATTTGCCATTCAAGCCAGCTTTGGGCGTAGCCAAAATTGTATTAATCTTTTTTCGGGAGGGGGGTAGAGGGAGGCGAATAATTAACCCTCATGTACGTTTATACATGCATTTGCATGCTTGTGCGTACATGTACACACCCAAAAAAAAAAAATACTGAAAAATAGGGAAATTTCACTCCCCCTTCTCCACCCCTTACCTCCTTGCTATAGCAACAATTTTAATGATCAATTATCTTATGAAATGCGCTTGGTGACTTCCTAGTACATTGAGAATCAAGTCAGTATTTTGGTGGCTGACGTAATGCTCAACACGCTTCCTATTAACCAGTGCACTGAAACGGCGACACCCGAGAGGACAAAGCCATATGTTTCCTGTATTTGTTGTGCATAGCTCAACGTATCTGCTGAGCTGCAGTATAGAGAGGACTGCCTTGCAGTGACGACTGCGTGCGCACTTTGAGGGACATGCGGTCGTGTTACCGCAAGCGCATCTATGAAAATGAATGAAAAATTGAGCGCCATGAAGAGAGGAGGATGCTCGCATGCGTTGGCTCATGCCACCTGCCCGGGGACATTCTGGCGAAAGTTTCATAATTGCTGTGCGGACGCAAAAAGTCCCCCTCTTAGCGCAAATTCATTATTCATTCACTCGTGATGGGTCGTTGGGAGAGGCATATTCTGGATGCCTGCTTTCAGGCGAATGAAGGCCTCTAGAAGCACCTGTTTTGGTTTTTTTAAATGTGGTGAATAAAAACGTGCTGAATTAACGTGAAAACTCTTTAGGCGTGCTATAAATTTTCGCTAATCATTTACGCTATTTTCTTTTTTTTTCCTCCGTGTTGTATGTACCGGAGGGGACGCAGCGCCAAAGACCAGGATAGAAAAGACACACAGACAACCAACACGTAGTGCTCGCTGGAAAGTGATCTTGATTGCGGAGAATAACGTAAATAAGTACATATCCACGTATCAGCCCCGCCACGGTGGTCTAGTGGCTAAGGTACTCGGCTGCTGACCCACAGGTCGCGGGTTCGAATCCCGGCTGTGGCGGCTGCATTTTCGATGGAGGCGGAAATGTTGTAGGCCCGTGTACTCAGATTTCGGTGCACGTTAAAGAACCCCAGGTGGTCGAAGTTTCCAGAGCCCTCCACTACGGCGTCTCTCATAATTGTGTGGTGGTTTTGGAACGTTAAACCCCACATATCAATCAATCAATATCCACGTATCAGCCGTCATCAATGAAATCAAAAACGGAAAATAAAGGAAGAAAATGAAAAAATGAAAACAAAGGCGAAAAAAAGATAGCGAATGGAAAGACGTGTGGCAAAGTGTATGTGGGCCAGACTAGCCACTGTTTCAATGAGAAGCTTCGGGAATGGCCAGCTCCTCTACATGCAATTACTGCAGCTGCGAAGAAACAATCGCCCATCTTATGTGTGAGTGTACCCATTTCAGCGCACCAACACAAGAACTTACTGAAGCTCTAGATAGGCTAGAAGATCGGCCTTGGCCAGAACAAAAGATTTTGTGTCATTGGCCCGAGTCCATCCTCAGTCCAGAAGGCTTTGCAAGCTTTAGTACGTCTTTTGCGGACAACTGGCCTTAGAGACAGGCTTTAGTGTCGTATCCTCTTTGACTTTTGCTTTTGATGTTTCAATATCTTTTGTTTTATCTCTCTCTCTCTTTGTAACATCTCTTTTCTATGATATTTTATTACCCTCAGCCTTTTCTCCAGCACAGGGTAGTAGTCAGCCGGTCTAGGAACTGGCCTAACCTCCCTGTCCTTCCGTTTATTTCTTTCATCCTCCTCCTCCTCCTTCGGAAACGTGAATATAACGTAACAAGGGCTACCAGCGGCCATCTTAGAATTCACTGCAAGAAGTGTTGTTGCAATCCCGAATTTAGCGAAGGTGAAGTGTTAGCCACCAATCGAAAGCAACTAATGGGTGAAATAATCGAGGCGCACAAGATTGCCGTCTTAAGAGACATATGTGTAAGACCTCCCTTTGTTGTATTCACTGACAAGGAAATTGTGTATCTTTATGTTGGCTTATCATGTTGCCCCGCCGTGGTGGTCTAGTGGTTGTG